TTTTTAAATGCATATAAATATATTTAGCATACAGAAAGACAGAATACAAATTTCTGTTATTTGCATTATGCTCATGTCTTTTATTCCTTGGCTGGTGTCAGTTCTGTGTATTTTGGCTGTAGCTTAGAACTGTTGCTAGTTTATAAATAAATGAATTCGGCCATGAATCTCCATCTCTCCCCTCCCCGGGCACTCTCTCTCTCACACACACCACACTCATCCTTTGGTTTGTCCACAGATGCTTCATTCCATATATGTGATGAAGTAGACTGAGGAATGGTACATCTACACTGTAGAACTAATGCAGTTTGACACTACTTTAACTGCCACGGCACAATGCTATGGAATCATGAGAGCTATTGTGCTGATGCCTTACTAAAATACAACTCCCAATGTACATACCATTGAGTCATGGCAGTTAAAGTGGTACCAAACTTCTTTAATTCTGCACCCCAGATCTACAAACGTTTATACTAAAAATTCCTGTTTGCATATTAAATTGACTGTTATATTACATTATGAAAAGGATCTCGCAATACCTTAGGGAATGAAATTGGTAGCATATGCTTTTGTAGACTGGATCTAATACTGCAGATAGCTCTTTCCAGATTTTTTAAAGAATTCTAGTGCTGCTGTCTAATCAGAAAAGGGTACGTGTTTCCCACTAACTTGGTTTCCTTCCCATCTACCTACCTCCATACACATGTTTTTAGATTGAAAAGGGTTTTTTTAATTCTAAGGAGTCCAGTTTCTTGTAGCTCCACAGTAACTCAGTAGTAGATTATAGACTTTATATTCAAATAATCTTGGGTTCACCCTCCCACAATCTCTAGGAAGGGCTAGAAAATATTTCTGTTTGAAAGTCAAACTTCTCTTAAAAATCTTACAGTACAATCCTAACTCAGAAAGTGATCCGAGAGCTGGTTGAGCTACTGTTAGACTGGATGAACCTTGGTCTTCCCAGATAGATGTCCCTCTGTGATTGGGATCCCAAAATTTTATTTTGCAGGAGTTTCCACTAATTTCCATGTGTTCAAAATAATCTAGGCCAATTCTAACATTGAACTCATTTTGTGCTGGTACAGGGACTATACTTCTGGGCTGAGAAAGGTTTGGATGTGATATAACTCAGTGCCTCCTGGATGCCATTCTTTGTTCCACCATTTTCAGCTCTTCAGTCAACTGATCTCAGGGCAGAGGCTGATTGATCTCTTAGCTCAAGAGGTTTTTTGGCATAAAGAAAAATTCATCAAATTTAAGGCTAGTTGAGCCAGCACAAGTGCCCTAAATCTCTTCCTAACCCACTCTAGTTAGACTACCCTTGAGTTGGAAGTGAACTGTAAGGGTGTAAATATTTTCTTATTTCATTATTGTATGTGAAAATGAAAAAAAAATCAGAAGTTTTTTCTCTGCTGGCAAAGATAACAACAGCATTTTTGGTACATTTTGGCTGTCAGAAGTTTTAAGCAAAAAAAAAAACATTTTTGGGACACAAAACCCATGCACAAAACAAGAACCTGTTGGTTTCTGTGTAAAACACTTGAAATAGTAAAATACACTTTGATGTCATAGATTAAATCCATGGGTTTCTAGGCTTGGAGTCAGGCCCACTGTTTCTGAGTAGAGTTCAGGGTTCTGCTTTCCACGACATTAACAATTGCATCTTGGATCCTACTGAAAAGGCCACTTTGAAACAGCTGTAATGTCAGTGCCTTGTGTAATATCATACATGGTGATCAATGAGTATGGAACAATTTTTAAAAGAGGACAGTTGGTAAATTATCAGAGCTCAGGCCATTTTTCACCCTGTTGGATTAGTTGAGATGAATTAATCACAGCGAGTCCTGGTGTGAATGATTATTGAGCTTTAACACAAAGAATATCTTAATCAAAATAGCTATTTACATAGAGCCTTTCAGCTTGCAGCTTTTGGAGCCTGCCTCATTAAGCATTTTATATAGAGATGAAAGGCATCACTGGAGGAAATGTATGGGGCAATGGGATTTAAAATTTTACAATTGTTCTTATGAAGTATGTTAGAATTCATATCTCAATGAATCAGTTATTAACAAGTTTAGATGTTAGGTTCAGAGAGTATGCTAAGCTTTCCTGTAGGGATTAGGGCCCATAGCATGAGCTTGCAAAACTTCAGCTCTTTCTTATAATCACTGACAAAGTATCCAACTTTAGAGATGTAAAAAATGAGCAGAGAGAAACAAGAGAACCATCCAAAGAGACTTCAGGAGTTCCTGAATGATTGAAATCAAGAATGGAAGAACTATCCAAAATGGTGTTGTCCTTGTTGAGAATAGTTGTCTTGACACATATCAACATGTCACAAGGATTTTTGCACATTTTGAAATTTCATTTTAAACACTTCACATCTACAAAACATATTGTTTTGTCCTGCTGGAAAAAAGCAATGCCCTTGTGCAAATATGTGCAAAAATATTTCTGCAAACTTTACAGTGGATTTTGTGCAAACATGTTTCCTGTTCCCAACAGTCCTAAACTGAGGAGTGAAATAGCAGGACTTTCTTTAAATATATTCCTGACCTTATTTCCTAGTTAAGACCATTATAACACCAGAGGAAATTATAAACATGGAAGTTTTATTTCTGAAGAAGCAAACTCACAGTGAAAACTCACAATGGGTCTGTAATGACATGATACCATTGCCATTTACAAAATGGAGCCTATTTTATACAAGTTTCTCTTGGGCCCCTTCTACACAGCAGTATAAAATGCAGATTGTCTACTTTAAACTGCATTATATGGCACTGTGGATTCTGATAACCCAGTTCAAAGCAGATGATGTGGATTATCTGCCTTAATATTCTGGATTATATGGCAGTGTAGAAGGGTCCCAAATCACACATTGCACATTAACATTTCTCATTCCACCTCCTGCTCCTCACAACTCCACCTCCTGTTCTTGTCTCTGCTTCAACTCCACCTCCCTTCTTGTTCATTCCCAATGAAGTAATTGTTTTCCAGTTCCCTCTATCTTATCTCCTGGGTCAAAATGTTCTTGTTGCTGTGAAAACCTATTCTTTACTTCTCCATCCAACTCTTTTCAACTCCCCCTCCCATCTCTGCTGTGTTAATAAACCAACATTTCAAAAAGACAATTGATACAGATTTTGTTCTATAACAATTAAAAAATGTCTTTTTCCAGCCAGGTGTCTTCAGGTGTCTTCAGGAGGACTTCATGTTTTGCCCATTTTCACCTAGACATTTTGTATTTTTCATTCCCATGTGAAGAATATGTTAAGAAACATGATAACAACAATTTAGGCCTTCTAACACTGAAAAGCCATACTTATTTTCACTCAAAACCATGCAATTACTCAAGGAGGGAGCTTAATTGGCAAAGTTTGATCCCCCTCCCTTTAGTCTTTATCATGGAGCTGACGAGAGATTTTCAAATAAAGTTGCTAGATCCCCCCGCCCCTTGCCGTCACCACCTCCATATCAACTTTGAGGTGAAAATACATGTGTTGTTTTTGGTATCTATGCCAACTGCTAACACTTTTAACACTCCTTACTGAAATAACTTTATGTGCATATGCATAGAGCCAAAGACGATGTAAGATTTTTGGTTTTTTTATATTGTAATCATAAGTAATACCAGCAAAACATCATCATAGATGTGGTTTTTCCATAGCGACTGGGAAAACTAGGATTTCTAGAGATCATTGATGTAGGCAAAGTGTCTGCATTGGTAGAAAAACATTTCTCCCTTCTGGATGAGAAGAAAAGAATACCTTCTGAATTGCACAGGCACCATGCTTTCCCACATGACTGTGGGTAGTTAACCCAATTCTCCTAAATATTTTGCAATTAAAATTAGGCTTTATATTTTTGGTCTGCTTGTGTCTTAAATCAGAGCATTCAAAAAGCTGCAGCCAGTGACTTTCTAATTTTGAAATAGCAAGTGTACTTGGGAATAGGTGGATTGTTTTTTTCTTTTTAATTTGTCAATTCAAGGGTGGCTTGTGAATTTGCCTATTTTATTATGTTCTGCAATTATTACAAAGGTGTTGAAAGATTATGAGTTGTGGACTTTGTGACTGCAAAGAAAAGACAGTTGGTATAAGATAAGAATGGAAAATAATGTTGGTGGTTTTGGGATATTCACCAAATGTGGCACATTGTGCCATGTAGATTGATGTCATTATATAAATAAAATGATTATGATAATGATGACAATAATATGCACCAGATTACACCTTGCCTCAGGCATGTGCACTATATTTCAAACTAATAAAATAAGATCAGATTATAACTTCAACTATAAAATGTGTAGAGTTAAAAATATCTGTAAGTACGCTTTGCTCTATATGTGAAAATATCAATAAATGACATTATACCCAAAACACATACACATTTTTAGATTAAAAACAAAAGATAGGATTAGGGTGGAGGTTGGATTCATAGAAACACAATCACACTGGGACTAAGAGGTTTTCATACTTGTACTCATAACTCAATGGTACAGACCATATTTTATATGCAGAAGTTTCCAGATTCAATCACTAGGGTTTGTGTGTGTGTTTATTTGGTAGCCTGATAGTTGCAGAATTCTGACAGTTGGATCTGATTAACTTTGAAGCTTTCTATTTCAAACTAGAGTTAGGCAAATCTGTTACTTCTTATTTTAATCAGATTTGGTGAATTTTAATAAATTCTGAAAAAAGAAAAATGAAGTCTCAACAACCTCTATTCAGAACTTACAGGAATATTCTTCAAAACCCTACTTAATAGACTTCCCTACTGATTTCTTCAATGTTCCTTGAAATGGCCTATTTCATTTTAGTGATTTTCACAGGTTGAAGAACAACAGTAACAAAAACTCTTCAAAATGCTTCTCTTGTACTCTTTCCCTCTATCTATTTTGTATTCCTTGAAATGGACATGGCACCTCTATCATGAGAATAATTCTGTTCATCAGCATCCTTCTTGTCTGTTTGTGTCTGTCTGTTTCCTTAAATGTGTAGGACAGGAGAGAATTGGAAAAGACTCCCACTATGAGCAGGAGGGGAGAGTTCAGTTTGTGATTGACGCTGTTTATGCCATGGCTCATGCCCTTCACCAAATGAACAAAGATCTGTGCAATGATTACTCTGGGGTCTGTCCAGAGATGGAACATGCAGGGGGCAAGAAGCTGCTGAAATACATCCGCAATGTTAACTTCAACGGTGAGTAAATACTCATTCATTACTAAGGCATAGTTTGAGTTACTGTCCCTGAACCATTATTTAACTGACCTATTGCCGATTATAGTGGAAACCTTTTTCAAAGAAACAATAGCAGAGGGAAAGAACCACACCTATGGATATTCATACTAATCATTTTTCCAGCAATCAAATTACGCATATTGTTTGGCTATCATTTACTTATGAGTTTAATAAAGACCTGAGAAAGTGTCAAGAACGTTTTTTGGGAATACAAAGGGAATCATCTTAGCCTGAAACCAAGGTGACTATTCTTGACCCAGCCTTGATCAGGTTACATTTGTGATTTAATTTGCTGGTGAAGAGGAGGAGAAACATCAAGAGCAGGATCTTCATGAATATGGCAACCACACCTTTGGCCTTTGTGCTGTCTCACTAAGCAACACAGGTACCTGAGTGGGTAGTGTACAGTTCTTGTGTTATTTGTCCATGTCCTATGACTCCAACTTAATATCTCGTTTTTCTTTCATACCATGTACATGAAAAACCACTCATTGCCTTTCAACTGCATTTTATCCTTCCATCTTTTTACAACCCACATATTTTCCTGGTGATTCTTTTATAAGATCAGTGGCTATGTGATTAAGACTACCACTTCAGATATGTTGTTTAGAAGATCACCCAGAATTTGCAGATTCTATACTAAAGTTCAAGAGATGTTGAAATTAAGATGTTTAAAAATCCAAATGTGGGATACAGCATCAGGTGCATCATGCAGTCCAAAAACTTCTGGTAGGGCCATACATTCCCAGTATGTATTGATTGGTTTCATATTGTATACATGTTGCTCCACTGTTCCTGCATTATTATCATAGAAGAAAAGGGCTCTAAAATAGAGGGAAAGAGAATGATAGAAATGGCTCTATGGGGCACTGAACTACTGGTATACCTCAGTTTTATCCCAGTGACATTGTTATTGACAAATGGGATTCTGTATGATGGCAGATGTGGCATTTAGTAGTAGAGGCAGCTAGACAGTTATTGGCAGGACTAAACTCATTTTTCAGTCTGCATGCTACCATGCAAACTGGGCAAGAGATACATATATAGAGACCTACCAATATATTTAGAGTCCCTGGTGGTATAGTGGGTTAAACCTTTGTGCCGGCAGGACTGATGATTGACAGGTTGGAAGTTCAAATCCAGGGAAAGCACAGATGAACTCCTTGTGTCAGCTCCAGCTCCCCATGCAGAGGTATGAGAGAAGCCTCCCACAAGCCTCCCACATAAAAAAAATCCACGCATCCCCTGGGCAACATCCTTGCAGACGACAAATCCTCTTACACCAGAAGTGACTTGCAGTTTCTCAACACACACACAAACCAATACATTTGGGAAACAATTCGAAGTATGAAGAAATATTAATGATACCTCATAAAACAAACTGCAGTGAGTCAACAACCCATGATTTTTTAAACTATAGTTGAAGCTATGAGATGACCTAAACTGAACTGACTGTACTTTATAGATGGCTACATGATGATTTGCTTGTCTGATTGCTCTGTCAAGCATCCTTTGCTATTCCCTTCATCACTTATTCACCTGAATGCACACTATTTCAGTGGCTAGATGGGTGATCACAAAATTGATTCACATGAAGCTCTTGGAAGATCACATAAATTCACTTTCTTGGAATCTGCTTCATACCTCAAATCATATTTTCATCCCAGAAGTTTTTGACAAAATTCATAACTAAAACCTTCTGCACAAAATGTAGATGTCACGGGATAAGAAGAAAGATCATGACATTAAAAACTCATGGACCAGCCTAGAAATATTTAGATAAAATAAGCATTGTTTTAACAGACACTAGCAGGAAAGCAATGTCTACAGATAAATTCACATTTGTGTTCAGTTCTAGTACAGTGCTAATTACTCTACTATATCTATAGCTCTATGCTTTTAAGATCATAATAGAGATTCTACTATGAATAGAGATCTCTGTAGAGATCCCTATTTAGATCTGTGGGGGGGGGGGTAAACATATATGTATTTCTGTCAATATACCAATAGATTAGCAACCCCAAAATCGACCTTTTATTGCTTAATATGCTTGTATTTTTTGCAAATACTATGGAATCTTAGAGTCAAATGCAAACAAACAAATTAATGGAATCAATCAGAAATTCACTTTTGGTTTAGTATGATTAGATTTTTTTTTATGTTCATGACTGCAGGGGAGGAGACTGTAACATATTAGTGAGAGAATCACTACCATTAAGTGCTACCAGGAATGGTAATTCACCTTTTCCCCCCAGGGTAGACCTGGATAGTTGGGGGTCCTTGCAGGCATCCAGGGCCCCAAAACAGCCTTGAGATAGCATGTGGCCCCGGTGCTACACATTTCTCACACTCCATCTTATGGGAATATAAATGCATGTTTTGACTGGGAATTGATTCCTTTTCACCTCCTCTATTGCTTTTCTATTCCAGGACCATACTGCTTGCTGGAATAAGAAAATATTCAGGAAAAGGAAGCTATTTTTGGATTCTAGTCAAGATTCACTAGTCTGAAGTTGAAGCAGATGGAATGTTTTCTAGGGAGAAAAACACTAATTTAGAAGTTTCATTCACAGCACAATCTCTGAAGAGTTTTCCTATGTGGTAGAGGGGAGCTATTCCAGCCTGTATATGACTTCAAATGGGAAAAAAACATTGTTAAAGGGGTTCTATTTTTAATTTCTTTTTCACCCGGCATGCAGTGGTGAGGTTCACTGCAATTACTCAAAAAATGCCAGAGGAAAATGCTGTTGTTAAGTGCCCATTTAAAAGGGTATGGTGACATTGGTTTGCTATCGGAATTGTAATTCTAGCCTAAAAGCTCTTCAACCACCAGAGAATGAACAAAGCAAATCTTGTAAAAGTATTGGCTTTTCTCCCTCTTTTTTTCTGCTTCACTTCCTTCCTTAGGCAGTGCTGGCACTCCAGTGATGTTTAATAAGAACGGCGATGCGCCAGGACGCTATGACATCTTTCAGTTCCAAGCAACAAACACCAGCACCCCAGGCTACCGTTTGATTGGCCAGTGGACAGATGATCTACAGCTCAATGTAAGTCAACACCCCCCACCCCCCTCCATACACACATTAATAATAATAATAATAATAATAATAATAATAATAATAATAATAATTCTTATTTCTTACCTGGCTCTCCTTGAGGCTCGAGGTGGGGCACAACATAGTTAAAAACACATGACTATAAAATATTATATAAAATAAATATATGAAAATGTATTTCTATTAAATATATCAAAATATATAGAATAAAGATTAAAATATAGTAAATATAAGGCGTGAGTTTAAAATTCATAGTTAAACATTGACTGGATATGCCTACCAGAAAAGATAGGTCTTCAATTGTCTCTTAAATTTTCTCACAGCTGACTTAGCTGTCAGATTTCTTCTGGCAGGTCAACACTTGAATCTGTGCTAATAACCAGAATGATAGTACTAGTTGAATGTCCCTCTTATGAAATGCTTGGTACCACAAGTGTTCTGTAGTTCAGTTTTTTTTTGCTGCTGCTGCTGCTTCCTCCTCCTCCTCCTCCTCCTTTTTTGAATACTTGCATACATAATGAGCTGTCTTAGAGATAGGGCCCAAGTCCAAATGGAAAATTTATTTCTGTTTCATTTATACCTTATATCCTTAGCTTGGAAGTAATTTGATGCAGAATCTTTGTGCATGAAACAAAGTTGGTGTACATTGAAACATCAAAAAGCAAAGGTCTCACTATCTTAGCAACCCATTGATCAATTTTGGATTCTGGAGGATTTTGGATTTTGGAATTCCAGATAAGGACTATTCAACCTGTATTGCTGAAAAGCTACCAATCATCTTATTTTGTGTAATATTCTCTCTTGAAAGGCTGCAAAGAGACTCAGTCATATGATCTATCATGATCTATACACTCACTGTCATCTTGGAACTTGAAAACAATTAAATATAAATGAGGGACCTGTCATATACCATGACCGGCTAATTACTTAGGGTTTAATCTCCAGTAATCTGTTGCAGAACCCAAGTTGTTCTGTGGCACCTTGCATACTAATGTATTTGTTATAGCGCAACATGTTGTGGATTAAATGTTTAGAAAAGGGCATTAAATAATGAAGTGAAATAAAGTTCTCCAGTATACTGTCATAAAGCATCTTGCTTTTCACTAAGGTGAATGAAAATTTCTACCTGACTTTTCTAGAATCTACTGTTTGCACAGTTTGCCATTGTGTTAGGAACCATTTTTTCATGTCAGGAGCAACTTGAGAAACTGTAAGTCACTTCTGGTGTGAGAGAATTGGCCGTCTGCAAGGAGGTCTGCCCAGGGTACGCCTGTATGTTTGATGTTTCAAAATCCTTGTGGGTGACTTCTCTCATGTCCCCACATGGGGAGCTGGAACTCACAAAGGAAGCTCAACCCTCTCTCCTCAGATTCAAACCAGTGACTTGTCAGTCATCAGTCCTGCCAGAACAAGGGTGTAACCCATTGTGCCACCAGGGGCTCCAGGTTAGGAAGCTGAATGGGTTAGGAAGCTGAACTATATAGATAAAGATACCTTTGTAATTATATTTTAGGGATGTGTAAATCAGCTCCAATTAGTTTCAATTTCAAGCATAACACTTATTCCAACTTAAGTGTCCACAGCATTGTATAAAATCCATTTTCTATATGGATGTTCAATTTAAAATGAGTACATTTTCCTTGAAAAAAATTCAAATCAGCATGTGTTGAATGAAAATTCTGTTCCTGAATGATTTGGATCACAAGTATGTAAATGTGTGGTCTTCCATTCTCACCTTTCATATAAGTCTGTATATGGGCAAAGTGGGTGAAACTAGATGAAGTCTAATGTAAATGAAAGCCTTCAACAACACATTAAAATGAAAAAAAATGGATGGAAAATGGGGAAGGAATGCAACCAGTGGGAATCCTGCTTGTAAACACACTGTAAAGTTTTATATTTAGATTTCTTATACTACTGCTTCCCAGTTTATTGCTCTCCATATTTTCCAGTGTTTAGATAATTTTGAGAGGTGAAGTCCCAAACATTGTTTTATGTTGCTCTTACATGAGTCAGAAGACATCTGAAGTCATTTTCTCATGTCATGGTTAAGTACCATGCAAACAATACATTTCCCGAAGAAGTCTTAGCATTCAGACCACACACTTGAAGTATATTTGATGTATTACTGACTCAACTGAAAATTTCTTTATGTTTTAGAAATCAAAGGGTAAGAGTGGGTTTGCTGTAGTTAAATTTATAATGATTCGTGCATGAACAGTATCCTTCAAATAACCCCCAGAAATTCCCAAGACAAAAGAGGTTTTCAGAACAACTACATGGATTGTGTTAGGCTTTATCTCATGTACTCAACAATGTCAAGCATGGTGACAGGGGGTAAAATCATATATTAGACATTACAAAATGTTTACTGTTGCCTGAAATCAAATCTGAATATTACTGAGCTAATACAAAGAAGTTACTTAGATACTAGGCACATTCACACTCCACAGTTATAGCTTGATCATTCCACTTTAACTGATATGGTAACATCTTGTGGAATTCTGGGGTTTGTAGTTTAGTCAGGCCCAAGTGCTCGCTAGCAGAATTTGAAATGCCCCTTTTCATGCGTTAAACGCCATCTACTACACTGCCATTTGTGGAACTAAAATGTCTACATGCAGACAACCTGATTTTCCTTTGGGGTCACTTGCCTGCCAGACACCTGACAAGCATTCAGAAAGATCTAGATCTTTGCAGGTATTCTTTTTAACCCTTGTGTAAATCACATTAAAAGTTTTAGCCCTGGTTACTTAACATTAGCCTTTGTATATCATTTGAACACTCCAGGATAATGCACCATCTACACTACATTATATGTGATTAATATGGAAACAAAGTGTAATTTAAATTCTTCTCTTTAAATTGTTCTCTTATAAATACGAGAGCAAAGGAATTGTTGGAGGGAGTTCTCATGGGAACTGTTGTTCTCTCATACCTACATTTAGCCAACTGTGTGGTTTCATTTGTTTACCTCTCTCATTAGTGGTTTCAGGATTATAAAATGAGGATTAGAGCAGTCCACACCAGCTTATTGCAGTCAGGTGGAGGTTTTTGACTGCAGGGATATACAGTCCTCCACAGCAGTGCATTTTTCAGCCAATCACAAATTTGATCAGGACGTTTTAACACATTTTTTTCAACTGATCTCATGATCCAGCATGCATTTTCCATGATGTAGTCACCACCACCTTTTATCCTAATTACTTAAGGCCTATGTAAAAGGGGCCTTAGACCATTTCCACACAGGACAAAATGTGACATGCTGCATGTGACATTCCACACAGGGGCACAAAATGCTATCTCATAGGTTGGGGGGGGGGCAAACACCCCACCCATGTGACTGCATTCTTGGTACTGGAGTGCATAGCCAGTGCCCCCTCCCCTTCCCCATTTGGCCTTCAAAGAGAGCCCCCTTCCCCTCTCCATTACATCATCACTGCAGGCCAAGAAGAGAACAGACAGCTTTCCATAACAATTAAGGGAGATTTCTTTTCATTTTTGGGACACATTGGGGGAAGGGGAGAAGGGTAGTACTGACATCCCACCTCTTCAAGCTGCCTAAGCCCAGGGAGCCCAGGAACTCTGTGGAGACAGACACCAGAGATTCAAGGGAGATCGAGATCTTTGCAGATATTCTTTTTAACATTAAAAGATTTAGCCCTGATTACTTAACATTACCCTGTGTATGTCATTTGAACACCCCAGGCTAATGCACCATTTACACTACATTATATGGCAGTGTAGATTAGCCCTAAGCTGTAAATCTCTGTGTTTAATATGGAAACAAAGTGTGCGCTTCTTTGGATTTGTAGTGTGATTTTGTGGAAAAAACCTGGTTGTGCTCTTTAGCACTCATAGGTCTACTTTGGAAGCATATTTGTAAGCATTCAATATGCAACCTTCTGGGGTGAAATATTCCCCTAGAAACATTTTTAGGCATGATCCTCTCCACTCCTGCATACATACATTAATACGTATAAGGAAAAAAACATATGCCAGCGAATTCACAATTGTTTGATACCTCTTTAAGCTGTCCTGGTTACCCCATTATATAAATATAAGACTGCACTGCATGTTTAATAATAGACTGCAGAATGAAAAACCTGCCCAGTTGCTCAGCTCTTTACACACTTTATCATGATTCACATATCAGCAAGTTGTTTTTTTTTAAGGCTTATCAAATCTGACTAAACAACAGCAAATATTTGTTTGAAATCTGATCTGAATCTCCCTGAGCTGGTATTTGAGGAGACAGCTGGGTATTATGTAAGGTAATTCTGAGAAAGAACAAGAGAATAGCTGGTGGTGGGAGTTTGTAGGCCAGTAGCCCTTCGGTGTTAATATTATCCTTATTCAATTCACTGTGACTGCAGCAGAATATTGCCTTTGGGGAGGCAGAGTGGTGCAGAATTAGTCTGCCATGATGTTGCTTTAGTTGTCAGATTGAAATTCAAGGCAGAGCATTGTGTTGAGATGCACAGGTTCTTAATATAGAACCACACAGCTTGTGAAATGACTCCTCTGTGCTGCTTGCTATCCCAGCAGGAATTCAGTTGAGATGAGGATACAGAGCAAATGGATGTGTGGGTGAGACTGTTTTGCATGTGCAAATGAATGGAAATCTATCAGCCATCTCAGTATTATTGAAAATAGTAATAATAAGAATAACAACACATTAAAATAGAATTAGTAGCATTTTAATGGTTGAAAAGCTAGGAATTACTCATTGAAAAATCAAATTTGCTGTTTACTAAAGCTGTCTATTTTGTTAGTAATAAAGTACGTTTATTCTGACTTAATAATTTCTCTTTAAAACCCCACATTATGAACTAGACTTTTTAAAAATCAGGGAGAGGAATCATGTGACTGTTTATATGACATGCTTTTCACATTTCTGTTCCATTTTCTCATGGTAATTTTTACATTTTAGCCTACACTAATGGAATGGTTATAATAATATATGTTATAAAATGTGGCTAAACAAATGG